CTTTGCGTTTGGGGGCTCTGTGTGTCTTGAAACATACAAACACAGTGAGTGTCTCCTTCCAGCTTGTGTGTACTGACATTGCAGCTTGGCTGGAGAGTGAGCTCTGTGTGTATCCAGCTGGGAGGACGGAGGTTCTTTGACTCTGCTCTTAAATTCTGTATCATCGCATATTTCAAAGTGACTTCTCTGTCTTGGCTGGGTTTTTTTCTTCAAGAATTAAACACTTCCATCCTATTAACAAGAAAGCCTGGGGAATTGCTTGCCTCAGACTTATTGCTCTGGTCTCCCCCTTGCATTGCCCCTCCAGCTGCAGTTGTGCATTACCAAGTTCCATGTGCCCAAGCTTCCCCATTTCTGATTTGCGATGCTTGACCCCGTTTTGCCCGGGAGTGTGATGTACCATGTGTGGAGTCTTGGTTGCCTGGTGAGGCACCACACTTCAAGCCAATGGCAGACTGCAGACCTGTCCCTTTGGTCCTTGTTTTGCTGAGTTTGCCTGATTCCTCCCATTCCCACACCACCCTTTGCTCTGGAAAGCTTTGAGAACAAACTATGGAAATGCACTTTATTATGAACTTAGTAGTTGATTAAATGTTTATGGACTGTCTTTCTCTTTAGTAGAAATGGGTAAATCAGACAAGACTAGTTCTGTGTGTGTGCTTTTGGGGGCAGGGGGCTGGTGGGATGTGAGGTGGGAGCCTTGCTCAGCCCTTCCTCTGGTGCCACACATGATGGTGGGCACTGCCAAACAAGGCTGCTTTCCCCAGGGAAGGGTGCTGGAGAGACAGTGTGTGAAAGAGCCCACAAAGCCGAGCTCCAGGCCAGGGTTTCCTTCAGCTCTCCCATCTCATAAATGAGCTTTGGATCCAAATTCAGTAACACCTGTGAAATGACATGGGAACAGCCAATGCAGGTTCTTTGAGAGAGGTGTCTTACTATTTCAGTGTTTCAGTCAGTCATCGAACACTACAGGTCTGAGATAATTAAAAAAAAGTTTCACGGATGCATTACTTCAGATTTGAGAGAGCTGCATTGCTGTTGCCAGAAATAAATTTGCCTAAGCCTGTGTCTCCCCACAGGGGGCTGTTATCACATGGTTCCATTCTATTTTTCTGGCCTTATCTCTTAATTAACTAATCTCTAATAATGCTCTTTCTTTTTTTTTTTTTAATAAGCATTTGTGATCCGTCCCCATTTTCCATTGATTATGGTAAGAGCAGTGTTGAGGTTTTTCTAACAAAACAACAAAAGTCAGGTGTAAATAAGTAACTGTTTTCTGGGATCCCTTTTTCTTTATATTAGCCTTGAAAATCTTCCCAGACCATTACCTAGGAAGTACGTGATGCTTGTGAGCCCAATATAGCATTCCCATGCTCTTGGCTAAGCCGCACACATGTATTTGTGTGGCATTACAAAATGCCCAAGCTCATGTAATGCATGGAGGCTAATCTTATCAATTGTATTAAGGCTACTTAGGAACTAATAGCTTTAAGGAAGCTGTTTATATTTCCTCCTTTAAAGCACTTTAGTCAATGTTCTCTGTCCCTTCAAATAAATGTCACTAGTAAAATAGTGCACTTTTTGTCATTTCTTTTAAAAGTGATATTTCATAAGAGTTGACACTTCAAGGCCTTGGGCTGGTTCTCAGATTTGGGTACTTGGATTTAAGCCATTAATCCATATGGAGGTACCTAAAAAGAAGTGGCCTGGTTTGCATGAATTAAGCTCACATCCTTCTGAAGTTTATTAGTTTGAAAATCAGGGCACGGCTCTGGAAGTCGTCGGATTGCTGCAGGCAGATTTGACTATGTGAGCTTTAGACTTAAATTTAAAATAAGAACAATGTGTTCTTTTGAATGTCCATTGCAAGTTAGATTTAAATGGGAAAAAAAAAGTAGTTATAAATCCAGTTTAACTGATCATCAAAGATCCTGAGGATATGAATGGTTTAACTTGTTGAGCATGACCAGAAGTTAAGGCCTGTGAAGATGTTTTAATTTCTATGTATTGCAACAGGATGCTACTAAAATCATCCAATAAATTCTGTTATTTTAATTTCTATGTACTGCAACAGGATACTACTAAAATCATCCAATAAATTCTGTTTCTAGTAAGAGGCAGGTGCTTTGGGGGGCTGTTTCCACATCCTAATCTTGGCTGGGCATGTGAGAAGAGGAAGATTTGCTTTCTCTCAGAACACTATAGAGAGAGGGGGAAACTTCCCACCTACAGGAACATAAAAAACAGGTCCAAAAAATGAATTCAGAAGGAGAAAGTCGGCAGTAATGTAAATTAAAGAAATCTGTATTAAATTGTATATATTTAAACATTTTCTTTCAAGAGATCTTTACTTGCAATACAATTTTAATACCTAGATTTACATTTGCAGTCAGCAGAAGTATCTTTATCTAGAACAGCATTTGCAACGTCACAAGAAGGTATAGGTAAGACTGGACGAGAGATATATTACATGTAATATTTTACAAAGCAATCGTATTACAATCTTGTGGTAATCATAAGATGTTACAAAGATCTTCATTAACCAGGAGGCTTTATTTTAGACAGCATTAGCATATACACCATTTGTTCCCTGGTTCCAGTACTGTTCTTCATAAACCTGTCTCAGATGGTCTCTCTGCCTGCCTAGTATCATTGCTCTGGGACTGGCTTCTCCAATGTGGTGTTGAAAGAACAATTTGACAATTTGTTACGTCACTTTAGCAATAAACTGAAAAAAATAGAGACCACGAATAACTGGAGAGTCCTGTCTAAATTAATGTCCTAAACCAGATTTCTAGGGCAGCAATAAATCTAGATCTCTTTTAAAAATCAGATGTCTAGTCAAATAACTGGTATAGATCACAGCACGCTGAAGCCTCACAAGGAAAAACTGGAATTAATCCTTGTAACGCAGCTCCTATCCACATGTGACTCCTCTGAAAAGCTCTTCTCTGATATATGTGGCCCCACTGTGTGCCATCCACAATCCTGTTGTTCTCTAATGGACCAGCTGAGAGGGGCAGCTGGTCATAGCGACGTCTTACTGAGAAGGAAGGAGTTGCTCTGGTTCGTACAGTTCTGCCATGCAGAGTGTCCCTCAGCAAAGCAAGAGATGATAGGCTGTGGTGAGTAGCAGATTGGCTTTTTGTCAGTGCCCTTGTTCTAGTCAGTCTTACGCACGAAAGAAAGGAGTGACATAATTATTGTGGCTAAATTCATTCTTTAAAGTTAAAAGCTTTAAGAAAGTGAAAGGACACCACAAATAGCTGTCAAAATCAAACCTTGCATGCAGGTGGCCTGAAACAGCCTGGCCACCAAGATGGAGACTATGGTTGATGTATGGACATGGCCCTACCTGTCCCGCCGTGAACTGGTCTGTCCGTCCTAGAAGGAGTTTGAACGAAAGCTGAGGAGCTGAGTGCTGCTGGGGCAAGTGCACAAGTGATTAACAATGAAAACCAACCAGCTATGCAATGATTAGGCAGCCACAAACATGGCTTCCTTTGAAGAATGGCCACCAGCCAGGTGGAAGGAACCCACTGAGAAAACCTTGCCAGGTACACCCCAGAGAAGTGAAGGGTTTGGACAGCCAGAGTCAAAAGAAGTGTGGTGCCTGGCTTGTAGTGGAGAGACTGAGGTGTCTGCAATCATTTGTGCAGAAGGTTGGGGCTTGTTCTCTCGGGTTTCTTTCCCTTTAGCTGAAACTATCTGACAGCTGAAGGTAAACTCAAGATGATGCTCTGTTCCCTTATGAGACAGCAAACTCTTTCCATGTTTTATTCCAACTTTGTATATGAGAATGGGATCCTCCAGCTATGACAGTATGTTTGGAGAGATGCAGCATATGCAAAATGTGCCTTCCCTTTGATTTAAAAGATATAATGAGGGGTGCCCTATCACTGATAAAGAAAAGCAAAATTTGCACACTGGGGATAGATTTAAACTTAGCTTTCCCTGGCCTTCAAGTTTGAGGCTTGGTGTACTTGTGGATGAACGGTGTCCATTTTCTAAGACTCTGAAAAACATTTAATTTGTGAGTTCTAAGTGGCCTTTTTGGGGTTGGGTTTTGATTTTTTTTTTCCCCTTGCCTTAAAAATAGTTGGGCTTGAATATTCTGGAGCAAGATATGAGATTACATACTCTGTAAAATGTCCAGAGTAACTGTAACTGGCACATGCTTCCACCCGCTACGAGACGAATCTTCTAAGCTTCTGCGTAGAATTTAAATACAAGGTGAAGCATAAGTCTACAACACATGTATTCAAGATATACAGACTGCAAAAAAACCCTGAGAAACAAACCCCATAAATCTTACCTTAATGCTGTTTTCATGATACTTGGCTGTTTCATTAAATTACAGTTTTTTCTTAGTACATAAATTCTCAACTTAGGTTTGCATCTTGTTCTATGTACATCTTAAGAATACAGCAGAAAATACCATTGCTTAGCACATTAACAAAAACCACATTATATGAGAGGTTTGTGAAAATACCTGTATACTAAGTTATATACAATTCTGGAAATCCTTCTTCCTTTGAATTCTAACATGTTACTCTCCAGAAACCCAATCTGTTTGTCTTTAAAAGCATTTTTTAAGCATACAGAAAGTATGCTGATAAAACAACTTGAGAAAAAATGATTGACTTTTCAAATTTCAGGTTTAATTTCAAAGTAAGATGGAAGGGATCACTATGTGATGCCAACAGTTTGGGTTTTTTTAATTATTTTTTTTCAGACTAACTGTCCCTGATAAGGGAACATGTGAATATTGCAAGTCCTAGTGGGGTCATATCCCCAAAAAGGTATGGGTATGGTGTACTCACATTGTGGATAAGTGTATTATCCCAAGGTGCACTATGTTGTATGCTCCCATATACAAAAAAGAACATGTGTAGAAATGTGTATTCTGATGGTTGATATATAGCCTTTAAAACGTAGATATTCACAACTCTCAGTTTGTTTTATTTTTCTCTGAGAAAAAGTCCACATCAATTAGCAACTCAACTGACTGTTGTGATGGCTGGAGTCTTCCCTCCTTCCTCTCCTTCGGCCCCTTCAGCTCCTGCATTCACCCGATTGAACTTACCAAGCTTTTTCAAATTCTCCAGCGCAGATTTGAAAGTGTCCTTCAGGCTGTTCTCCAGGACCCACCCTTCACTTTCACATTCTGGGTCTTCAGGGTTTGTCACACTTTCCAGAGAGGTGTGCAGCAGGCGCAAGCCAATCATCACCGACATCTGTGCCAAGCAATGGACAGGACAGAGAGGGTCAGTCAAACCTTGACACTCCTGTCACGTCCTCACTGTCCTCTGCTCTCAGCAGCCTGGGCTGCAGGCAAACAAAATGCCAAACAAATGGACACAGCTTAAGGGCTGTGGGAATCCTCTGCAGCCTTTCCCCTCCCATCATGAGTAGGAAAGGAGAAGGTGGAGTTTTTAAATCGGTGAGCACCACAAGTGTGATGCTGGGTCAGCAATGAGTGGAGGAATCAGCTTGTGAAGGAAGTACATGCTGGCTGCTACAGAACAGCAGCTTTGAGTGGCCATGTGCACAAAAGGCCTTGCCACATACCCCATCACAGGTTTGGTGCCTCCAGGGGAGTTTTAATGCTACCCCTGCTCCTGTGTCCTAGATATCCATAAAGTTCTTTGTATGTGCAGCAACATCCTCTGTCACCATCCACTTAATTGTAACTCTTGAATATTTTCAGTTTGCATTAACCTTAACGTGTTTGGCGAGTATATTGTGCTGATCAAAGAGATATTCAGGAAACAGCTTCTGTGCAGAACACACCAGCATTAGGTTTTGAGCCATCAGCTTGTCTACTTCAAATTCTGGATTTGTTTTTATATAGGTACGTGCAAATAAGGAAACCAAGGCAGCAGGTGTGTCTCTCACTGCTTCTGTCTAAACCAAATTTATATTTCTGATTAAATATTACCTAGTCTCATCTGCCCTGACAGGCTTCATCTACTGTATCATGCTGAATGTAACACCCCTGACACTGGCAACACCCCACACCTGCCTCCAAAGAGAAAAAGAGTGTTTTTAGCCAGTCTCCTGCCTTCTAACACCATTCAGAACAATCTGACCTCCACCATTGTGGTGCTTTATGTAGAAAAGTGATTGGTCTGTGAAGAAGATAAAGAAAGAAAAGGCAGTGCCCAGAAGAGCGAGGCTGGTGAAGTGGCAGAGCAGGTGCTGGGAATGGGGCACCAATAAGACTAGTCTAATCTTTCACACGCTACGTAAAGCTAAGGTCGAGATCTCTTTTATTGTCGTCAGCAACCTCATAGGATTTGTTCTGGGAGGGAAGTGTGATGCTTCTGTTACCCTGTCCAAATTCCTGAGGAACTGATTACCTCTGGTCCTCCTAAACTCTAATGGCTAAAGAGGTCAGCAGATTTGAGCTGGGATTCAGCCACGTAGCATGGCCAATGGCAGAATTCACATCTGGCCTTTGGACTCAAGGGACTGTTCAAGCATGTGCTTCTGTGGACCATTCATTAGCCCATCTACCATAGTCATCCTGCTTGTGTATGATCAGTGTCTTTTGGAACACTAAAGCTATACGTGGTTACTCTCAAAATTTGCAATGTTATATTTCTCTTCCTTTATTCAAGAGCAGAAAGGGAAAAACACTGGTCAAACAAACAGACTTCATCAAATACTTCCATATTCAAAACCAAATTTTCATCCTGTTTAACAGAGGAATGCATGACTTGCCACATCTGGGTCCTTAAGGAAGTTTCTAGTGGCCCTGAGTCTGGAAATAGTCTCATCTAGCCAATACTATGATGACTTAAATCAGTTGAAGCACTATTCTATAAAAGTCATAGGAAGCGACACATCCCATCATAATAGTCTCAGCCAATTTGAGTCCCAGTTTTGCTGCTCTCAGTCACATAACTGATATCTTTCATGTTAATGGCTGTTGCAAGTACAGATTAATAGGGCTGGATGCAGAAGCTTCCATGTTGACCTCTATTCATGCTGCCTTGCTGCATGCCAGCAGCAGCTTCATTTGGCTTACTAAGACCCACTATTGGACAGCAAAAGTAGGTGCACTTTCAGGCTTCCTGGATGGCTCTAAGTCACTAAATTTGGTCATGCTTTAAAAAAGGAGGGTGCTTGTGCAGCAGGGAGCAGCTGATCTGCCCTCAGATGAGATTTTGTGACATCCAAGTTTAAGACTTCATTTTCTTAAAAACCTTGCTTAGAAAGATTTTGGGTCCCTCAAGTTGAGATTCCTTAAAAGCAGTGCAAAATATTTGGGTGCTTGTCAGCTCCACTGGCCCAAGCCTGTCTTGTCTGATGGATGAGAAGAGAGTCCAGGAAGTTGGAGACAAGTATATGGCAAACCAGCCTATCTACTATGTGATGGCATAAAGCTTTGGACTGTCAGTTTTGCTGAAGTCTTGCACCAGGGGAGGAGCTACCCCATGCACCAGTATCTGCTGGGGATGACTGACTGAAAGTAGCTTGGCAGCAAAGGGCCTTGGGGTGCTGGGGGACACCAAGTTGATCGTGAGTCAGAAGTGTGGTGAACAGTATCCTGGGCTGTATTAGACAAAGTGCTGCCAGCAGGTTGAAGATGATCCTTCTCCTCTGCTCAGCCCTGGTGAGGTCACAGCTAGACTGTTCAGCAGTTCAGGGCTCCTCAGTACAAGAGAGATGTAGGCATACTGAAGGGAGTCAAAAAAAAGGGCCACTGAGATGAAGGGACTGGAGCACCTCTCCTGTGGGAAGAGGTTGAGAAAGCTGAGAGTGTTCAGCCTGGAGAAGAGAAGGCTCAGGGGGTCTAATCAATGTGTACAAGTACTTGAAGAAAGAGTGCAAAGAAGATAGAGCCAGGCTCTTTTTGTGGTGCTTGGTGGCAGAACAAGAGGCCATGGGACCAAATTGAAACGCAGGAGCTTATATTTGAATGTCAGGAAACAATTTTTCACTTTGAGAGTGACCAAACACTAACACAGGTTGCCCAGAGAAGTTTTGGAGTTTCCTTCCTCGGAGATATTCAAAAGGGATCTGGACATGGTCCTGGACAATCTGCTCCAGGTGCTTGAGCAGAGTATTGTGAACAAGATTATCTTCAGAGTCCCTCCAGCCTCAGCTGGTCTCTGACTCTGAGTCATAGGCCTGAGCTTAATCAAAATCTTGCACAGAAGACTGGGGCATCAGAGCCCCAGAGCTAGTCCAGTCTTGCTGAGTGATGATTTCCCCTGGCCAATAGAGAAACTATCATGGAAACTCTTACCATTTTACGGTGACTTGAAAGCAGCAGGAAGAACATGGCCACAGTGTTTCTGCAGGGCTAGGTATGGGCAGGCTGGGCTGGTGTCCCCCCTGCACCACAGCATGCTCTGCCCCTCCATCTGGGCCAACAGAGCAAACTGTGTCCCTCTGGAGGGTCCCTGCTGCCTGTGGGCTGGTTTTGAAGATTGACAGGAGTTCACTCCTTCTATTCAATACATCAGAGAGTTTACTCTGCAGCACAAAGTAAATGTGCCTCCTGCTTGTGTCTCACTGCTCCTCCTGGAACTCAGTGCTGGGCTCCCTCTGTGGCACCACATGAGGTGAATCCCAGGGTCCTGGTTGTTGCAGTACCTGTGTTCTATTGGGACCCACGTGTTTATACAGGTGAAGGACCTGGAGCACGTCAGAAAACGGCCTCAGCCCTCTGCTTCCTCTGAAATGCTCTATTCAGGGCATCCTTGAACCCCCCATTTCCTCTTTGCTGGCTGAGGCAGGTCAAGAAGACATCCAGGCTTGCTCTTCTTGACCTTCTGCTGCGCAGCCCATCTGTTTGCCAGGGTTTAGCCTGAGGCGGCTTAGCTAGAGCAGGGTGTGATCTTTTTTTGTCACCCTCATGACCGGTTGTCACTCACGGGAAACCTACAGCTCTTGTTAGTAAAAGCAGCATCTAGATAGCAAATTCATATTCTTTTCAAATAGAGGTTTTGGCATTTCAAAATAAGTTTGTTCTTCCTGGCACCTAATATAGAAAAGTTAAACCTAAATGGCCTTCCCTGAGGTCCCTTCACCTGTTTGGCACATTACCTTTTTCTACAGCTCAAAGTAACAGCTATGATTAGTGTTTCCCTCTGTGCTCTGTCCCCCTTCCCACATCTCAATACCACCAACCCAGCTGGAAGAGTCCTCTGCAGCTCTCAGCCAGGCTTTGCTGGGAAAGAGCTATGGCTGCATTGCTTGCTTGAGTTCACAGCAGCTCCAGCTGCTAAGCAAACTGAGATGCTGCTTTGCTTTCGCACCTTCCTGTAACTTCTCAGGAAATCAGTCAAAGGGGAAATGAGAAGCACAGAGCCAGCATGACCATTGCTGGCTGGGTGCACTCTGCTCAGACCCAATTTACCTTGCCCAGGGGTTGGGACCTCTGCTGCCCTCCTACTCAGTGTAAAATTGTTTCCTATCCTGGCTGGGATTTAAAAGGAGTGGTTGTATCTCAAGAGAGACTAAATGAATGTCTGCTTCCTGCTTTGCTTCCTCCCTTCAAAGTTTGCCTTAAAAGTGCAGGGAGTTTGAGACCCAAATCTGGACCCTTTATGGTAGAATATCTGGCAACTTATAAATATTCAGGAAGGCAAGTTAATATAACCCAGGATTGTGTTGTTTCTTTAAAACATTGTCCTGAGAGTCCTCTGATTCCCTGAAAAAACAGTCTCACCTTCTATTTTGAAAAAGACAAAGAAAAGAAGAGAAGATTTTATTTCTCATTATGCCACAGGTTGAAAAAAATTACCTGGGTGTACTTTGAAGAGTTAGACATAAAATACTGCATTTTTATCACTGCTACTAATGTTAACATATCACTGTCATTCATGTCCTAAAAGTCAGCACAGGTATGGTACATGATCCTAGTCATGATTTTTCACAGCTGGCATTAGTATTTTTGTGCATTTTTCTGCTGAGGTTTTGAATTTTTTCATGATTTTCATATACAGCTGAAATTCCCTTCTCTTCAAGAACTCTGCATTTGAATATGGGCTGAAATATGAGCTTCTCTTTCTTTTCTTACCAGAATAATGGTGCTACAAGGAGGTAGTACATTTATTTCTCTGCTGTTCAGAGTACTTATTTTTAAAACAACACAACATGGAGTAATTATATGCTTTTTTTTTCCTGTTCACAGATTATTTGGGTAGGTGTTTATTTTGTAAAAAGCATCTTCATTCCTGGATGGTTGTAGGCCAGTGCTTGTATAAAAATATAATGCATTTTTTTGTTTTAATTTGCATGTATCTAAAGTTTTTTAAAAGCAAGCTGAATCATTTCAAATAGGCAATGCCATTTGCAGCAGCCATTTCAAGGGTTGGAAAGGGTCTGTTGCACTCTGTGTTGTGCAGTGAGCTGCACCTTCCCTGTTTGCCATCAGGTCCTGCCTTATCTCCTCATCCAGCACCTCACGCGCCAGCCCTCGTGCCACTGCCAGCCCACGCTCCCCGAGTATTAGTAATGATTAAGCACCCTGGCCATCTCCCAGAGGTGGGAGGACAGGTTTTCCTCACACTGAATGAACAGTATTTTCGCAGCAAAGCTGCACTTTGGGTTATGGTGGCCACAAACGTGCCCTGGACAGTACTTGCACCTGTTTGCTTATGCACTGTGGGTTTGGGAAGCAGAATATGATAAATTTAGTCCACCTGCTCTACCTAAACCACTTTCTTTGACCAAATGACTTGGTGGAGCTAATGAAGGACTTTAAACCAAATGGTGCACTTGAAGCTGAACGCTATGCATGGCTTAAGGGCTTATTTTCATCAGCGTGTAAACCTCGAAGTTGCACTTTCTGTCCCACAAATCACTGCTGTCTCTTTCTGATGGGCTGCTTTGTCTCATTCCCCACTTAATGGCGACACATTTAAAATTTATGCATCTGGACAACGGAGTCCTCACACTTTCTTCCCTGCTCAGCACCTGGCAGTTGGCAGAAAATTGGTCCCTTTTTCCCTCTTGCCATCTGAAGGATATTTGAGGTTCTAGCCCCTTGCTCTGCAAGAGGGGTCTGTAATCCCACACCTGCCCCTGCTTCCCAGCTCTGTCTCCAGCCGGGGACATCTCAGACCTTACACAGATGTTAACTATTAGATGTTGTCTCAGCCAAAGAATGGCAATAGGTGATTTATGTTAAAGACATCTGATCTTTAGCTCAAAAGGCCAGCTCTGCTCCTCCAGAGCTGGTGCTTCAGCGAAGCGGGGTGAGGGGAGAGGGTTACCTCAAAAAGCCAGACGAGGAGGGTGACGGCGCCCATGGAGCTCATCATGCCGCTGTAGTAGTTCAGGAGAGCTTCCCGGCAGCCGCGGCGCCAGAGGTTGAGCTCCTCCGTTTGGTAGTCGTAGCTGTAGTGAGCTGAGTTGTTGGTGACCTGGTACTGGATGCAGGGTCTTGGGGAGCTGGGGTTGCAGCAGCTAAAGGGAACACCATCCACCAAGTACCTTCCATCCACGTTGCTTTTGATCCGACTATGGGCAAGGACAGAAGCAAGAGTGAACGCGCACACACAAACACACACACAAACACACACACACAAATATAGAGGATCAAAGCTGCACAGAGAAGGAAGGCAAAGGCGAGGCAAATTTTCTGTGCCTCCTGGTCATGCTGTTTCTCTACATCCCCTGTTCATAGAGTGGTGTCTGTCCCAGGAGTTTTTCCCCTCTGAAATTCTTTTCTATGTCAAGGCTACACTGAGTCTATGATTAACTCTTATGATGGCAATGCACCCTCTCGGGTCACTCAGAGAAATTAATTTTTAATAGAAGTAAATGCCAGAGAGAAATTTCAGGGGGGCAGTCAGAAAAGAGTGACCACAGCACAGTTAGGGTGGAAGGGAGATGCTGGAGGTGACCTGAACTTGGAAAAGAACCTACAACAGCCTTAGGACACACCACATTCAGCTAGACTATTGTTCCAGCAAACCTAATAGTTTCTTTTTGATAACAGCTTGAGGGAGGGGTTGTGCATTTATTCTTGGCTGGGAAGGTAGCCAATATTTAAAACACGAAATGTGCTTCAGCATCTGGATGTTGCAAAATCTCCTTGCAGGAGCTCCCCAACTATTGTTCATTTGAGACTGTGGTTGTTCTTCATAAACAATCATTTAGGCTGGTGCCTTATGAGACATTTAGATGAGAGATAATTTAGAAAGCAAATAGTTCCACAGGCACTGCAAAAAAAGACTCTAATAAGAGGACTGCAGCTCTGACACAATCCATTTTCCGCAAAAAAAATCACAGAATGGAGAGCCCCAATGATCTAGAAAGGTAAAAAAATCTGAGTGTCACTTGTAGCTTTCTATATGGATAATTTAAAACTGTGTCATAGAGGGAGTAGTGATTGCAACAGCCTGGTGAAGGAAAATTCCACTTTGCAGTCATGACCTAAATAAACCTAAATGCCAAACGCAGTTGAGGCTTCTCTCTAGAGGTAAAGTGTGCTCAGAGTTGGGTCTAATTCCCATTCATGTGTAAATGCTCCACAAGTTTCAGTGGAATTGGATCAGTCCTTCATTCTACAAATAATATAAAAATCACATTATGGGGGACAGACTCCCACCTTTCCTGAAATTATGGAGAACTTTGCAATTGACTTGAAAGGGGCCAGAATATCCCACCAGGAATGTGAGTGGAGATTGTGCACCACTGCATAGTACAAACTTTGAATTCACTCACATCCATTTGTGGCTTTTTAATGCCTTATTTCCTGCCCCAGTAGTACAAAGAAATTGCCCTGAGTTGCAATCCCAAACAAGGCATCAGTTATTAAGGACAGTATAACCTTGTTTTCCCTCTGTGCATTGCCCTTCTACTGCTGCTGGATTAAGCCAGAGCTCTCAAATCTCCATATAATGCTGGCAAGGTTTTTTCCAAGTAGCTATTTATACCCATGGGCATACCTTCGCAATGGAAATACCCCTTATTAAATAGCAAACCTATGTGTTATAACCCCGTGGTGCAATGGGTTAAGTCTGCCACAGTTTTCACTATGAAGTCCTCATTCAGAATTGCAAAAACAACCAGACCACCCAACAAGTCAAAACAACACACAGAGAGCCACACAAGTCAAATACCATTTACACAGTTGGGCAGGGATCCCAAGAGATACACAAAGCTTTTTTTCAAAATGACTTCAGATGTTTTTAACACAGGCAGTATATTTAAAAGGCAGATTGCTTCCAGTTTGCAGGACCCATTATGTAACCACAGAGTATGAACATTAATGAGTGATGTTCCCAAAGAACCCTGAGTAACCATATCTTTCCACAGTGCTTAATTTTTTCAATGGTTGTGGGTAATTATGTCCCAGGCTAATTTTTTTAATTTCAAAGGTTCATTTTGTTCTCATGTTTATTTTCTGCTGGAGCTTACTGCACCTAACCTGATTTTGGGATTACTGCCTCTTTGGGCACTGACATCAAAGCCATTAAGGTGTTTCTGGTCAACAATCTGCTCTGGTTTCTATAGAGGAAACTACTGCTGGTTTCATGGAAGGTTTTAAAAATTTAGCCACAGAAGAGAACTTAAAATGCATTTGTCTACAAGAGCCACTGAGTGTAAAGCTAGAAATGTCAACGGGTGTTAATGCTCAGTATTATCACAGCCCCAAAGACATCCATTGAGTGAATATAAAAATAAAACACTAAATTTTAAGGAATTAAAACACATGAGTTATTGGCAAAGTGTTACTGCTTCTATTTACTTCCATGAAACTGTTTCATTACCAATATCTAAGTGGAGTTTTGAAAGTGGTATCGATAATATATATCCAGGAAATCCTTTTTGTAGGAAATTAATAAATCACATTGAAATCTGCTTTAGGATTAGTGAAGTTCTGATACTTTCCTGTTGATTTGGGGAGTGGGTATTTTTGGCTCAATGGGATGGGTATAGAAAGAGGTAAAAGACTACTCTCTTTTTAAAAGAATTAAGTCACACTAAGTGTGAGAACTGACTCTCTTTAAAAAAAAATTAAGTCACACTAAGTGTGAGAACTGTATTTTGGTACTCTATTTTACGTTATGGATAACTTTAGAGGAATTTGTCAGGAGAGGAAGCAACTATCTGATCATTTGGGATGCTTAGTATGCAAGAGCAGAGAAAGATGCCATTTTATACAACCCTCCCTCCAGTCAGTGCCTGTCGGGACATACATTTCTTTAAAAAAAAAATTAAGTCACACTAAGTGTGAGAACTGTATTTTGGTACTCTATTTTACGTTATGGATAACTTTAGAGGAATTTGTCAGGAGAGGAAGCAACTATCTGATCATTTGGGATGCTTAGTATGCAAGAGCAGAGAAAGATGCCATTTTATACAACCCTCCCTCCAGTCAGTGCCTGTCGGGACATACATTTCTTTAGTATAGTACTGATCAAATAACAATGCGACAAACCCCATTAAGTCACTTACTCTTTCACTTCTTTGGAGCTGAAGTCCAGGTATCTGTTGCTGATCCACTGAATTTCGAACCAATCTTTGTAGCCGTTGTTCCCACAGCATTTGAACTCAATTTGGAGCATGTCGATGGTCTTCTTCATGAAGCATCTTCCAGGGGTGTCTGTGTCCCGGTAGAACTTCATGCCATTCTTGAGCCCCTGGGCCAAGGTGCTGTCCAGAGAGCCCCTCATGAGAAAGCAAATCAGAGCAACGAAGAAAATTAGGATGTTAAAGATGAAGCATAGTGCCAGGTAAGGTTTCAGCAAAGGCTTCCACTTGGCAAATTTAGCGGGATCCAAAGAATCGTAACAAATTTTTCCAGCAAAACCATTGAAGGCGCAGGATAATATACCCATTATTATCAAAGAATTGGGCACAAAGTGGCTTTCAGAATTGTCCATCACTTCGCTTCGCTTCCGGAGCTCAATTTTGAGGAACAATCCCATGCTAAAAACAAGGATTCCAGCAAACACCGATAACCAGTTCATGAGCCATAGTCCCTGTGCTAGTTTTACCCGTTTCTTCTGATTGAATTTGACTTTCAGCAGTGCCATCTTTGTAATGGAAGATGTTGGAAGGTTTCACAGCCTGGACGCCTCTTCTCAGCGAAAGCAACTCGAGGAAGAACCATTCAGGCGTTGGAAGAGATCCCGAGCAGCACGTCAGAAAATGAGCCGCTGCACGGTCCTTCCATCTTGAGCTCCCCCAGTTAGGATTCAAGCAAGTAAAATATTCAAAGGTCCCAATTAGAAGTTTCACATCGGTGAGAATAGCGGGCAATTAGCACCTACAACTATTTCTGGTGGTTTCTTCCAAGCAAAGGAGAAACAGTCTCAAGGTTTCAAATGATTTGATCTGGATCTGCAAGACGTCATTCTAATACCTTTAATCATTTGATCCAATTTGGAGAAATGTCTGTCAACAGATGAGTGGAAGTAATCCCTCATTTTACTATTTAGTAGATTTGTGCTCTCTTACGATAGGCTGCTGGGCAGAATATGAAACCCCAGAGATATAAAAAGAACTTTGTTGCCAGAACATTATGGACCCTTTGAGGGAAAACAAAGAGGGCTCTGGATTAAAAAAGGCTGCTTGAATACAAACATATACTACCCCAACATGATCCTGATATATTCATATCTACAGCCAAAAACACATTTCTAGTCCTTACCCTTCTGTGTTGACTTGAGATGACATCCCTTGGCTTATGTGTTCTGAAAGCAGATAAGCATGTAGTTTACGGTGACCTAAAAAACTAAGCTTGGTATTTTCTATTTACTTCCAGGGCTTGTGCCATCTCTGGGTCTTGGCAGGAGGGAAGGAGAAAGGAAAAGTGCAGAGAAACTCAATAAATAAACCCTGGGCTGATATCTAGGATGCTTTTATAAAAAGTGAGCTGGCATGAGCAGCTTACTGGATAATCGCCAGGCCAGGGAGGGGAGCAGGGCTGCCCAAGGAGACCCATCCAGGAGCTTACACCATGGAGGAATTCAACCCAACAGCTGGGGACCCTCAGGACATTGACACTAGCCAGTGCAAGGAAGGCACCCTGGGGGTCCTTCCAAGGGACCTGCAGCCTGGCTCTGCTTGCTTTCTGTAGTGGGTAGAAAAGGATGGGTGCAACCCCCTCCTTCGGCGGTCGCCCTCCTGCTCGTACCACACAGCTCTTCCAGCCAAGCAGAGATGCTGGGCTTTCACTCTCTCCATTGCCTGAGTTTTACCTGCTTTGAAATATCATCTCCCACTTCTCCCTAGCCCTACAAAGGTTTGGAGCTACTGGGAAGATCCTGCACTGGCTCACCACCTGCCACCACAATGCAAAATTTACCTCAGGCAACCTCCAGCAATGGAAAATTAACATACAGGTGTGTAAGGGCTTGGGAGCTAATTCTGCAGGGGGGAAAGGAGCAGCCTCAGAAGAGGGGAAATTAACCTACAGGTGTGTAAGGACTTGGAAGCTAATTCTGCAGTGGGGGAAAGGAGCAGCCCCAGAAGAGGGACTGAAAGCCTTTTCCCCAGCCTGTCAACCAGACCTGCTGCTACCACCCAAGTACCCTTCGGGGCATCCTCTAGTGGCTGCCAGCAGCATGGCCAGCAGCCCTCAGAGAGAGAGAGAGGAGAAGGGATCTGCCTGGCAGGTAGGCAAGTGTGAAAAATAATAATAGAAAAAAAACCCAAGCACTGCAAAATACCATTTTGATAGTCTGCTGCTTGTGGTACCATGGCTGCTGCTCAGTTACCACCTGAGACCCTGGAATGCTGGAGGTCCCTCCAGCAAGGACAGAGGTTAGCAAGCTGCTGCTTCTTCCTGTGCTAATAGGCTTTTGCAATGGACCTTAGACCTTCCCTGGCCCATCCTGGTGCTATTGCAGTGACCTGGAGAGCAGCTGGTAATTGGAATTTTGCTAAAGCAAGCCTGGTTGTTTGCACTGCTGCTGCCCTAGCCGTGAAGGGTGAGTGTGTAAGAGGAAAGAAGAAAGGTAATTATCCATCAAGGGCTATTCTCTCTGCTTGCCATGAAGTGGATAAGAAGTGTTGTTTCTTGAGAGAGCCTATTAAATATTTTCATGCAGTAAGCCATAGCACTGAAATAACATCTCTCCGAGCTTCTTGGCAAAATATCCCACAATCAAGAAGCACATTTTACATTTCACTGACTCTTCCAGGGCTCAACTAAGATACATGAGCTAGTTTGGAAAGTGCATTTATCTGACAGCCTGAAGTTAATTCTGGATAAAGGAACTTGAAACCATTTCCTTTCTTGTCAGTGGTGACAGTGAAACTCAAATGAAAGTGGAAAAGAATTTTCTATCAGGTCTGTGGATCATGAGGATATACAGTGAAATATGCCCTGCAGGACAAGAAGTAGTAAACCTGCCCACAGCAGATCTAAGCCTGGTGCTGCTCTAGATATGGAGAATTTGGTATTTAGGAGCCAGTTTGAATACCCACTACCTCATCAATTTAGCATTCATATATCCATGATCAATCTGATGCAGCAAAGTCATGTAATTGGGTACACTAGGGTGTTTCTTGTTAATTTAGGAATAAAACCAGTGAACATGCAGTATATTCTTTAGGACTCACTGATCCCTCCCAATTTACTCTTCACCTTAAACAGAGGTAACCGGAGGGGTCCTAATAAATCACTCCTGAAGTGTTATCCAGGAGAGGATCAGTAAGGGACACTCGGGTGCTAATTAGACTTTAAGACTTGGGTGGTACCTTTGCAGTCAGCGGAGAGCTATCAGCACAAGCAAAACGACTCAGGTTTTGAAAAGTGCTGTTTATTTAAATCATTTCAACAGCTGAATACCAGCTGGGGATAAGTGGAAAAAACTACCCCACCCATCGAGTTACCTCACTGTGCTTGGGAGCTTTAAATAGGATTGGTGACAGTAAATCGCATGCAGTGCTCTGACACTTCCTTCAAAAAACGAAGTTAACACTTTCAAAAGTGGGAGTTAATGCCTCCCCATTATCCCAGACGAGGTGACAAGCCCTGTGCAAGCTGCAGGCAAAATGATCAGCCAAGCGCTGTCTCAGGCAGAGCAGCCCAAGGAAGAGGAAGGTTACTGGGGATCATTGAGAAGTGTGTTGGAGTGTGGACATTATAAAAAAAGAAAACTGGTTTAGGCTGGCATCTGCTCTTCTTACAAATCTTTATCTTGGCTGCGATTCGCCTTTAATTTGGCACTTACTGTGGCTTTCTACTTCAAATAGAAAATACTGAAACGGATCCACAGCAGATCAAAGCTAATTGCTCCAAGAATGTTTGAGTTAATGATCTCCTCGGCAGTTGCCTATTAAACTCAAATGTATAATTCATATGCCATTTTGGAGGGGGAAAAAAGGTATAATAAAATATTTAAATTATTATAGATCTTACCATGTGTTCAAATTCAAAATAGTGTTAAAAATGATAATGTCTATGTATAACAATATAATATTAATACCTTTGCAAAAAGCTACGCCTGCTAAACTAAAAATAAGCCACAAATTTAAGAGTTAAGAGAGAGGAAAAAGTCGGTTTTAATGCAGACATTTAATCTGGTATTTGTTAGACAGTTGCTGTCCAGTCCTGGACCAATATTACTCTTTCCATTTTCAGGAACATGAGATATAAAATACATATATGCCTGAACTATGGAAATGGTCTTAGCTGGCAAAAAAATTAATTACCTGGACCTATATTTCTTTCATGCTGCTCTGTGATATGAAATGTGTGCCTTTCTGAGGATTCTGGATTTTTGCTCTCCTTTTTTCCTTTCCTTAGGAGTGGTTGGGTTTCACTGCAGGAATGATGATGGGTGGGAAGCTATTGTGTAGACATAGGAGGTTGGCACGTTCCCCCTAGCTTATGGTTTTGCTTTCATTTGTAACTGTGTGGTGTGTACAGGGACAGTCCTGAGCAACACTGCAGGTCCTGAGGCTGGAAATGGAGGCAAGTTGCTAAATTTGCTGCTGAGTGAGCTGTAAATCCTGGGAAGGGCAATTCAACCTGCTGGACCCCATGGCTCCCAAACTTCACCAGGGCACACTGTGGAGGTTTTAGTGTGGTTTAGCTCTGAGTAGTTCCCAGCATTTCAGCATACACTTAGCACAGTGTAGGTATTGTGTTCAGAAAGCATGGCTTTGATACCCAAGATGCTCATTATGAGTGTTTCTTTATATTATTGTGAGGCTTGGGTGTAGTGTTCACTGCTGAAAAAATAGGAGCTAAACCCCAAAGTTTGTACTTGGAGAAACAGGAGAGAAATATGTTGGGAGTTGAAAGAAGCTTTTCAGTCATTACTGCTGGAAAACATCTCCGCACAACAAATGGATCCTCAAGTCAGGCAGATAAATCAGATCACTATGAGAATAAAAATGCTGTAATTCCACAAGTTGCACATATTCTTTTTCTGGCTATTTCTATCTTTCCCTGTATGTGAGGAAATTGGCTGCTTAGTAAAACCTGAAGCAATTCCACGTAAAGCCACTGAGATTTGATCATTGTCTACATACAGCTATTGCTTAAATAAGAAGAAACTTTTAAAGAAACCCCACGATCCAAGACTTCAAAAGTATAATGTATAAAAGTGTGTAAGAATTTGTCTTATGCAACTCCTTCTTACCTGTTTTTTCACACAACAATTTGGCTAGAGCCCACACCAGAATGTATTTAAATGAGAGGGCTGGATAAAGAGAGAATTCCACTTTTGTTCCTGGTATTCAGAGAAGCAGGGACAGACAGAGGGAAATGTCTGGACTCCAGTGGGAAATGAGGGAGCTGGCCTCTTGGGACAGATCTCCAAATGAGATGATGACCTCGTGGGAACCAGCAGCAAAGCTCTCAGCTGCTTCTCTGGAGACAAGTTTTGGTCTGTGCTACCTTTCAGAGCCTCAACAAATGGCAACGCTCAAAGCTCTGCGTGGGCTGAAGAACGGTCTCAGTTTTCTTCTGTGGGTTCGTTGATGTGTATTTTTGTACAGAACTATTTCATTTCCTCCACAGACACATATGAGCTTTAAAAAGCTGTGGTGAACTAAGGATGTTTCACTGGCTTTTAGTTTCGGTGAGGCTGTGGGGGGACTGTCCAACCAGGCTGTCTTTCAAAAACATTTAAACCAAGCTCTCTTGGCTCCCTGTGGAAAATGGTATCACACCTCAACGCCCTGCACTATGGCTATAAGCTTTCTGCCTGTTAGCCCTCTATTCATGGCCAATTTGCACTAGGTTTATGGTGCTTACATTTCTGTTATCCTCATAATGTCCCGGGTAGGCACTTGCATTTCAGCCCCTTCTGATGCCTAGCATCATTCATTTC